GCGGGTGGCAGGGGCAGCTCTCACGGCAGTCGGGGCCCCAGTACTGGCCCGGGCAGCCTGCGGGGGAGGGGAGGGAAGGGATCAGCGGCTCAGGGCCCGGCGCGGATCCTCGCCCCACGTCTCCTTCCACTAGCAAGAGGGGCACCGGACCCAACCTCCAAGAGCCAGGGACAGGCCCCGGAACATCTGGCAACCTGTCCTCCTGGGCTCAACTCACTTCCTGCCTCACTCTGAATTACAGAAATCCTTAGCCAGGGGCCCAGCCTCCCGCCTCACATTCCAGAACACACTCAGAGACCCTGAGTGGGAAAGGAGCTTGCTCAGAGTCACAAGGCGCGGGGGCGGCGAAGGACTTCATTTCTGCCCCTTCCTCTCTCCCTGCTGAGATTCCCCCCTGGGCTGGAGGCGAGCTGGGATTGATCCCAGACCTGGATGCTGCCCATCAGGGTCGCAGGAGAAGCCACATTTCCCCGGGTCCCCTTCCAACCCAGTGCTTACCCTCTGGCCATCCTGCTTACCTGCCCTTTCCCATCCCTCTTCTTACCAGAGAGGGCAGACAGCCCAGCCAGGGGCCTCCTTCCCTCTCCCCCCACCCAAGTATAAGGTGTATGTGGGGGAGACTGATTCACAGGCACCTATTCTGAGACACTGAAGAGGAAGGTGAAGGACCCAGGAGGCAGGGCTTTGAGGATATGGGTAAATAACAGATTACTCAGGGCATTTCCCAGAGTGCGTCACTTCCTGTCTTGGGTCTCAGTTTTCTCAGTGCCGCTAGCAGGGATTCTGGCCCTGCTGTTCTAAGGTTACCTTTCTACCTGCTTTGCCTGCCCCCACCCACCCCGGTGACCAGCGAATTCACTGAGACTCACGGGAACTGCACTGGGCCCCGAAGAATCCCGGTTTGCATCGGCAGAGGCCTGGTTTCACACACACCTCGTCTTCCCGGCAGGCATCCAGCCCCTCACAGATGGCTGAAAAACACCCCACCCAGGTCTGTAGGATGGGGCGCACAACCAGAGGACATCTCTGTCCCCCACAGCGGCTCCTGGAGCCCCGTCTCTTAGGGCCGGGAGGGGGTGCATCCCAAGAGAAACCCTGGGCCTAGCGCTCAGGAGGGGAAACAGGCCCCGAGAGGGTAGGAAGGAAGGGTTGTCACGGAGCTGTGTCCTGCCTTCTCGGCTGGGAGGTCTGTCCTGGCTACTCACGGATGGTGCATTCTTGATCTTTCTGCCTCCAGCCTGCGCAGCACTGGAGCTCAGCAGAGGGGCTGTGGGGCAAAATGGGGTCAGCCGGAGGCAGCCTGGCCCTGCGGGGTGGATCACTGTCTCTGGCTAAGGTGTGGGAGGCTGTCTTAGCTCCTCTGGGGAGGCCTGGCCGAGCTTCACAGCTCTGGTATCCCCAAGCCCTCCCGTCTCCTTCCCACCATCTGTCCTGACTGTCCACCAACTGCCAGGGTACCTCCCAGATCTCCCTCCCTTCAGCCTCATGACCTCTTCCCCACATCGTCCTTCCCCGAAAGGCCTCAACACTGGTTCGGCCACCCACCCCATCAGACTCCCACAAGACCCACCTGCTGGCCATGCAGACATGCTGCCCATTTGGGTCCAGCTCAGACCCCTGGGTCCCCCGAGTCCAGAGCAGCACCAGTGGGAGCAGCAGCCCCAGCCCCATGGCAGCCAGTGCAGTGGGAGGGCTTGGGTTAATCTGGCCCCCACAGCTCCCAACCCCCTCCCTGCTTCCTCTCAAGGCTTTTCCTGAGGAAACCAGGCTGGCGGGGCGGGCTGCCATGAGGCACCTCCCTGAGAGGGCGGGGGCTGCTGGGAAGACCAATACTCAAAAATGAAAGGGAACCTGGCGCGGTGGCTCATGCTGGGTTTTCCCAGCACTTTGGGAGACCGAGGCGAGAGGATTGCCTGAGCTCAGGGGTCTGAGACCAGCCTGGGTAACTTGATGAGACCTCGTTTCTACAATAAATCAAAAAATTAGCTGGGCATGATGACACATGCCTGCAGTTCCAGCTACTTGGGAGGCTGAGGTGGAAGGGCTGCCTGAGCCCAGCAGGTGGAGGCTGCGGTGGCCATGAGTGTGCCACTTTACTTCAGCCTGGGAAACAGAGTGAGATTCCTACTCCAAAAAAGGGGGGGGGAAGGAGGGCTGAGTGGGAGCTTAAAGGGTTGATCTTAATCTGCAGGAGGAGGCAGAAGGATGAAATTGTAGGTCCCCTGCATATTGGGGACAGGCAAGGAGGTGGGGTGAGGATGGGAGCCACGGCTTTCCATCAGGCCATGGCCCAAACTGGGAGAAGCCTCCTCACCCGATGACTGGCCAAGGAGACCCCATGAGGAGCCCTCGGCCTGCTCTGCTCCTGGCAGAGCTGGGAGGTGGGGCAGACCACTGACAGACAGTCACAGAACTGTTTCTAAGCATTATGGGCAGTTGCTTTATTACATGACCTCGAGCCATCTCCACAAACCCTGGGAGATAGATAGTCAGTTCTTTTTTAATGGATGGAGAAACTGAGGCTCAAAGAGAAAGCACTTTTGTATCTGGCCCCAGAGATGTGGTACAGAGACATAGGGAAGGGAGGCAGGCTGAGCTCCCCACCATGTCCTGGTGCAGGCTAGGCTTGGGGAAGAGCCCTGAGGAGGGCTGTGCAGGAGGGAGCCCCATCCTCTTTAAGGCCACACATCCACCCACAGCCAGACCCCAAAGTCAGGCCTCTGGGGCGGCTGAGGCCCCCAGGCAAAGATGTCCATCGAGAGCAGAGCAGGGCTGGTCAGGAGTTGGGGGTCATAGGGCTGCCCATGGGCTTGGGGGGAGGTTGCAATGGGGCCTCCACTTCTTCCTCTGACTTGCTGGGAGCAGTGCTGCTGGTCTTAGCCTCGGGGGCCTCTGCTTCACCCCGGTACCACAGGCCAAAGCTGGGGAGAGAGCCAAGAGGTACTTTGAGCCAGGAAGCCAGGGGTCAAGGATATGGCCCAGGGCAGGGGGTGGTGAGAAAAGGGGATAGAGAGAGAAGACAGGGTGGCATGAGGAAGTGGGGTGAATGTGCACAAGGCCAGAGAAGCAGAAGGGGAGGGCGTGCTCAGAGCCCAGGACAGCATGGTGACAGGCCGTGGAGGGGGAAAAGGGCCAGAGAAGAACCAGGTGCGATCCCTCCTCCACCCCCCACTCTAGCCCTCCCCCTTTCCCCAACATACAAATTCTGTATTCTGGACTCAGGGGCCGGGGGGTGGTCTTCCTTATCGCTGGAAAGCAGGAGCCATGAGCTATCCTCATCATCACTGAGACAAAAGAGAGAGGAGACGTGAGGGCCGTTTATCATGGCCCTGAGGGAAAATGGGAGTCCAGATCATGTTGGACCTTCTCTGAGGTCCCTAGGAGCAGCAAGGGAAGACAGAGCAACAGCAGAATCTCCAGGGCTGGACAGAAGGAGACGCTGGGGAAACACAGGCCATCTATCTTGAGGCTTGTATTTTTTAGCCTAACAGACAGCAAGCCCCTGACACAGCCACAGCTACAATCTCACCCTTCTTTTTTTTTTTTTAATCTCTCTTTTTTTTTTTTGAATTGGAGTCTCACTCTGTTGCCCAGACTGGAGTGCAGGAGCCATCCTGAGAGTTTTAGGAGAAGTATTATCCTCAACCTGCTGGGCTCCGGCGATCCTTCCGCCTCAGCCTTCCGAGTAGCCGGAATTACAGGCATGCGCTACCACGCCTGGCTGATTTTTTGATTTATTGTAGAGATGAGGTCTTGCCAAGTTGCCCAGGCGGGTCTCAAACCCGTGGGCTCAGGCAATCCACTCACTTCAGCCTCCCAAAGGCACGGGATTACAGGCTGAGCCACCGAGCCCGACTAATCTCACCCTTCTAAGAACAAACAGACTCAGCCAAGGCAGGAAACCAAAGAATGAATGTGGAGAAACGGTGCTCGCAGGCAGGATATACAGCAGGCAGGGCAAGTGGGAGCAGTGAGATCCGGAGGGAAGGATGGCAGGCTGGATGGTAGGCTTGTGGGTGATGAGGCCCAGTCAGCAGGCTGGAAAGATGAAGTGACTAGGCTCAAGGGTGACAGGCTCGAGTCTGTCTGAGACAGACTCAGTGGGGTGACCACATTAGGTCAGCTGACTCAGGCTGGGCCATCAGGCTCAGCAGAACCAGGGAGGAAGAGCTGGTTCCGTGGGAGTGTGAATTACCTGCTCTCTGCTTCCTCTGGTGTCCCTAACATCTTGGACTTGATCTTCTTCCGCTGCTTCCTGACAGCCACCTTCATGGCTTCGAGCAGAAGTCCAGGGACCCGGTGGTCTGTGAGCAGCTCCCTACAGAAAAGGGGAAGGGGCAGGGAGAAAGTGGTGGGGATGCCAACAGTAGGTCTCACGCCAAGTGCCTGTGCATATTGTTTCCCCTCGAAACACCTGAAATGCTCTGCCTTGCTGACACCTCTCAGACCTTAGCTTAGGTGGCAACCTCCTAGGAACCCCCTGGCTGCTGCTGTGACCCTCTGCCTGTTTGCATGAAGTTCCAGGAGGGCAAGAGCTGTGTAATGCATGTCCTCCCGGTGCCCAGTGCAGGCCTGGCATGTCACCGTGGATATATCAGTGAACCAAAGAATGAGGTTGGGCGATTGGAGGCCCAGGAGCAGGTTGAATGGAGCCCTCTCAGCTTCCCAGCGCCCTCACCGCTGGAAGTAGGCCAGCTCCTCCTTGAGCAGGAACACGTTGGCTTTGAGCTCATTCCGCTCCTGAAGGATCTGCTCAAGCTCCTCGCGACTGAAGCGGCACGGCCCCGCCTCCGAGGGGCTCCCTGGCTGCTGCGGGGCCTCCACCTTGTTAGGACAGTCTTGGTCAGAGGGTCACCTCAACCAGCGCTCCCTGCCCCAGGGCCACTACAGAAGCACTGGAGGATGTGACTGGCAGGGAGACTTGGGGGACAAAGCGCTGCAATAGATGACAGACCAGGGTTCCGTGTGTGCCTGGGGGCCGAGGCCGGTTGGAGGAGCAAACGTTTCTGCCACTTTCCGACTTCCCCGCGGACCAGCATGGCAAACCTTGCCCGAGCGCCCACCGAGTGTCAGACACTGTGGGCACTGGAATGGGTCCTGCCCTCATCCAGCACTCACCGGGTCCTCAGGAGTCCCCGGGGCTCCTGCGCCGGGGCTCCCCCTTTCAGGCTCTTGCTTCTGCTCGCACCCGGGCCCCCCAGCCTGGCCCCGCGC